TAGAGTTTGATATGATCCCATTTTTTATTCTTTCTTTTGTTGCTTGTGCTTTTGGGGTCTTATTTATAAAGTCTTTGCCTAGTCCTACTTCCTGAAGTGTTCCCTCATGTTTTTTTTCTAGGAGTTTTATAGACTCAGGTCTTATACTTAAGTTGTTTATTGTTTTTGAGTTGATTTTGGTATATGGTAAGAGGGATGGGTCTAATTTCATTCTTCTACATGTGGATGTCCAGTTTTCCCAACACCATTTACTAAAGAGGCTGTATTTTCTCCATCTTATGTTCTTGGTGCATTTGTCAAAGATCAATTGGCTGTAAGTACCTAGGTTGACTTTTGGGTTCTCTATTTGGGAACCCTTGTCTCTTTACCCCCAAATAGTAGTATGGGAGGAATCATGCTTCAAGGAAGTATGTTCAGGATGAATAGCAATAATTCCTCTGGTCTGATCCCCACTTCCATGGGCTTATTATTGGGTACATTCTCTTAATAATCCTTCCAAGTCAACTGATGCTTTGAATTTGGAAAAGATATAAAATTTACTAAAAAATTAAATTTATAAGATAGTCCGTGGGGGAAGTGTTTAAAAACGCAAGAGTATCACCATGAATAGTTTGTAGAATGAGTGCTTTGCCTCCGGTCTGTATTTAAAATCAACACGTAATCTTTTACATAGTTTTGTATTGTAAGAAGTGCTGTTGTCAAACTTTTAGGCCTCTATCCAAATAATTCTACCAAATAAATTAAGTCCAAGTGACCACATCATATTATAACACACTAAAGATCACTTTCAAGGATATTCTTTTCTACCACCAAGAGCTGGAAAATACATCCAGTCTCAAGCTCATGAGTAGAGTAGCTGCTGCAACTAGAGTGAGATTTTGGCCTGTGGCAAATAAATCATATTAAAGTGAGCCAGTTAAGTGATGGCAAATTTGTTGTCACTACTAATGTTCTTATTGCTTCCAGTGGCTTTTATCCAGACACATTCTAATTCATCATAGATCCAATTCCACACAATGTTTGTAAAGCTGTATGTACAGCTTGGTTTTAGACATTCTTCATCTCTAAAGCACCTGCGCCATATCAGGTTTACCAAAGCATATGTACTTAAACATCCTTACAATGTACAGCGAACTCCTAGTACATTTATGTTCAAAAGTTTCTATCTACAGTGAACCCCTATTATTTAATGCAACTAAGACCAAAAATTTGCTTATTAGGCAAGTCAAGTTATCCTTGAATGTCCCTATAACCATATCTAAATTGCCACACCCTATGTCTTTAGAGACTATTCAACAATGTTCTTTTGTTTCTCTTGAACTTTGGGCTATTATCGCCTTTTCCTATTAGTGAAAGTTAAGGTCTATTTAAAGTAGGGAAAGAAAGTAGGTATACTGGGATAAGTAATGAAATCTCTCTTTCTCTCTCTCTCTCTCTTTTTTTTTTTTTGGCTAAGTCCATGGAGTAGCATTTTCATGGTTAAATATGGGTATGACAGAATGATACCATATACATATTTCTGGGCCCTTGTCTCTTCTTATAATTGTACATATGAGGGTGCTTCAAAATGTTCATGGAAATATAGTATTAAAAGATAATTGAATCTTTTCAATCTTTCCATAAACTTTTCAAAATATTCTCATATGAAATAAAAGTGTATACATGTGAGTGTATATATTCTTACCTACAAACATACAATTATACAAGAAGATATCTAGAGATAGCCAAAAAGCAGAGAAAACAGTGTTCAAGGAAGAGATCTTGTGGTGGGAGGGAACATGGCCAATACTAAAAACTGATGTGAAAAAAGTTCTAAAAATAAGGAACAGTAAGTTATGTGACTCACTCACCCATGCGCATCATCTAGTCACCTAGAACGCTTGTGTATCTGAACACAAATCCCCCGCTTCTCTAATCACACCACATGGTGCCTTTAACTGAGATTTTCTTGTCAAACAGTGCACTTAAGTGGGAGTCTTTTACTGCTGATTTAATGATATGACTTCGATTTGTCCCATGGGCACAGGTTGAATGAAGCATGTCTTTGGACCCATACCTGTCCCTTTTGGGTATGCCATTTAAAAAAAAAAAAAAAAAAACACTTGGTTTAATAAGCTTTTCAGATGTATAATTCTGACTGGGATCATCAGGCTCCTTTAACATGATGTTCAAGTCTACAAAATACATCTGGTGTAAATTACTGTATTTTTCCCAGAGTGTGTGTGTTTTAAAACAAATGAATGAGTACTGAATACCTAGTATAGTCTCAATGACAACTGGCTGAATAAATTCAAAGTTATGAATTAGATTTTCCATAATCTAAATGGCCCTCCCCCTTTTAAAACATGTCTCTTATTATCCACCTTTCTAGGCAACTTTCCCACTTACCAGCCTTCTCACTCACATTTCCTGCTTGTGAAAACAGGTGACATATCTGTGAACATACTGGGACAAAATACAAACAAACTATCTAGGTATTAATGCGCATGCTGCAATGAATGCACAATCAGAGGACAAGAGTTGTTATATTCCCTTCTCATGCAACAGAAAACTGATTTACTTAATTGCCTGTGCTTAAGGGTAATATCATCTCATACGGCTTACCATTTTATACTGATGGGAGAATATTAAGTTACTAATGGCACAAGTCAATAAAAAAATTCATAGGCCATGAACTAACAAGTTAGAGAAAGAATAGCATTGGCAAGTGATAGCATTAATTTATGAAATTTCATGTTTCAGATATCTGACTCTTATACAGAGATGACTTTATGCCTTCTGTAGAATGTCAGTTCTATGTAAATCAGGACAGTTAAATTACATTACAAACTCAAATGTTCTTAACTTCAAGCTCCTCTTACAGAAAGTGGCAATCTAGCTCAGTCTTAGTGTTTCTTTGCTACTGTTTGATGTATATTACAATCAAACCACTTTAGTTTTTCAGTCTTTCAGTACACATTTATTTGGCATTAGCTAAGGTGGAAAGCACTGTATTGGCTAAAATATTATCAACAGTTTACAATCCAGCTGATAAATCAATCACAAACATAGTTATCTATACTATATGGCAAAGATAACTAATGTTCAAATTGAATTCTTTATCTAAGAATTAAAGTTAGGGAAAAAGCTGGATTAGAGGACAAGCCTTTTCCAGATTGGAGAAGGGGTCTTTCTGAAAGTAACATTTTAGGCTTTTATCTTCCCCATGCTTATGCCCAAGGAAGGGAAAATTATAAGAGATTCTGAATATGGAGTAGAGAACTGGCTGAGAATACTGACATACACCTTTTTCTGTTGTGATAGTAGAAATTAATGACAATTTTTTAAATGGGCATTTAAAGCAATAGTAAAAGAAATGCTAACTGGTTGTAGTAATTGATAAGGTTTTCAAAAGCTTTGAACCAGAACAATTAGAAAACTAGTACTCCTAAAACTGCATAAAACAGATGATAGAACACATAATTGGTACTGAAATTGTACTTAATTGTGGCTAGGTAACTAAACATCTCAATTTTCCTTTTTCTTTAAAAAATTTTTCTTTTTTTCAATTAGTTTCCTAGGGCTGCTATAACAAAGTACCACAAACTGGGTGGCTTAAAACAACTGAAATTTATCCTCTCACAGTTCTCAAAGCTGAAAGTCTGAAAATAAGGTGTTGACAGCATCATGCTCCCCCTGAAATCTCTAGGGGGGCATCTTTCCTTGCCTCTTCTGGCTTCAGGTAGCCACAGGTATTCCTTGGCTCGTGACAGCACAATTGCCATCTCTGCTTCCATTGTCATATGGCCATCTCTCTCCTGTGTCTGTGTCTTCACATGATGTTTGCCTCTCTGTGTGTCTGTGTCCAAATTGCCTTCTTTTTAAAAGGATGCAGTTATATTGGATTAGGGCCCACTCTACTCTAGTATGAGCTCATCTTAACTAATTACTTCTGCAATAAACCTGTTTCTAAATAAAGTGACATTCTGAGGTACTGGGCATTAGTATTTGAACATATCCTTGTGGGCCACAATGCAGCTTATAACACCATCATTTTAAGTTGCATACAATCCTAATACACTGATGTACTTATATATACATATACATATATTTAGTAAGCAGGCTTTGCCAAATGAATACAGTTGAGTTGAGCATCACATGGTTGTCTGCTTTAGTGATGCCTACATGTTAAGTCCACAAAGACAAAAACCCAGACTTGACTATCCGCCACTGACACTGTAACCAAACAGGATGAAGCTCCTCCTGAGTCAACGCAAACAGGCCTGCAGGAGAGGCTGGCCTTGCCATTCCGGATTCATAGCTGTGCTATGAGGTTTACTGTTAGTCTGGGTGGCTCACCAGCAAGGAGCCACACCTTAACCATTCTCCTCCAAGTGTCACCTCTTCCTTGAAATCTATATTTCTTTCTAATGTGGAACTATCACAAATAAGGAGACAAAATGAAATGGAACATGAGAAAGCATTTGTGACATGGGGACATACAGACCTGGGTTTGAAGTTCCACCACTAACTAGCTGCATAATCCTCAGAAAGTTAATAAACTTTTCATATCCTCAATTTGGGCACCCATAAAATCAAGAGTCTTACTGTTAATATCCAGAGCAATTGAGAGGATTAATTGGGATGAAGCACTTGGATGAGACACTTAGTGAATGTAACTTCCCTCCCTCTTCATCATAAATTTGTTATGTTGAAAACAGACACTTGTATAAGAGAACTTTCCTTTCCATGGGATACTAACAACAAAATTGTCATGAATAATAACACTTAATATAAATACAACAGGCATCAATTTCAGTTAAAATTATAGGTGATAGTAAATGTGATCATTTTCAGGTAATTACAAAAATACATTTAGACCAAAACAGAATTGAGGACCAAGTTTCACTCATTTAACAAACATTTCTAGACCATCACCTATATATGCCAGATGTCTTTTAGAGGCAATGCATCAGAGACATGAGTAATGTAAAAAGTATGAAGAAAGTGTCACAACTTACCCCACCGACTTTCTCAAAGTGAGATCCATCTTTCTTAAAATCTGCGAGGGCCCCATTGAAATACCAGGTAAACATGATGTCTAAAAGGGGGTCGTGTTGCACCTGGCAGGGCAAAATGACACTTTCGCCAACCGATACATCCATGTTAGATGGCGCCAAAATTATTCTTGTTGGTTCTATAGGGAAATCATTTTTGAGTAAAACTTTAGCATTTTATTATGATGAAAGCAATTTGCACAGGCAGATTTTTCATCTAAGTTACAGTGTATATGTTTGCATATGCATATGTATATACATATATCTATATAATTAAAAGACTTTAAGATTAAAATAGACATTTTGATGCAGAGCTACAATATATTTCACTGGATCCACACATTATTTTTAAAGTAATTAGAATGTCTGAGTTTATAATATATATAAGATTAAAAATTAAAATCATCTGTAAACAAGACTTGTAATACTACTAACGAAAGCATTTTTAATTTAGTTTTATTGTTTTGTAAAATATAGAGGTAGAAGTAGAAACTATTGTGTTTTCAACAACTTTGAATGACTACCAAATGTATTCAAAATTTAAATATTGTAGATTCAAACATTTAATAACAGCATGAATTTGAAAGACTATACCAATGATGCTTAAGTAGATACAATGAGAGGGTACCATGCTAAAATGTTAGGTAATGTTTGTTTTTCCCCAATGCAAATGTCCACATGCACATTTCCATGTCCCTTTCATCACCACAGACCTTCCATCTATCATGAATTAAACTTCTCTTGAAACTACTTTCCCACTGCTACTCCCCATTTCTTTGTACCATATTGGAGCAAGTCTTCAAAAGAGCCATTTATATATATTGTCTGCAATTACGCTATTAAATTCTCTTTCCAACCTAATCTAGTCAGGCTGTGGTTCTGCCAACTCTCCAGCCCTCATTAAGGTCATCAGTAACCACCCTGTTGCGATATCCAATAATAAAATTTTGGTCTCATGTTACTTGATATCTCAGCTGCACCTGCTACACTGGATCACTGTCTTCTCGGTACACATTCTTCACTCGGTTTCTGGGACACCACGTTCTCTCAGTTTTCTACTATGCTGGTCCCTATTTTTATGGTTCTTCTTCTTTTCCTAAATCTCTTAATGTAAAATGTCTCAAGCTCCATCCTTTTTTTTTCCTTCTTCAATTCCCTGTTTTCACTCACTCTCTTGGTGATTTCATCTTGTTTCTTGGCTTCAGGTACTCACCTATCTGCTAACAACTCCAATATGTATATTTTCATCCTCCATCTCTCTCCCCAAATCCAGATTCATATATGCAGCTACCTGCATGTCATCTCCACTTAAGTGTTGTTCACCATTACTTCATTTAGGGCACATGGAAAGATTAAATTCTTAACACTATTGATTTCAGGCATAGCGAGATGCCATGCTTTGGACAATGAAATGTGAGTAAGAGGTATGTGTGTCACTGACAGGCAGAAGTCTGGAAGAACTAATGGGTATTTTAGTTGGACAATGGGCAATATTCCAGATAGTGGAGGCATTGGAATCTTTTATTCCTGAATGAGGACAACAAGGCTGACTCACTGTAGACTTGCAGAGTGAGCAAAGAGCAAACCTATGCTATTTTAATCTGCTGAGATCTGGGCAAAGCCATGATCTGCTTTACAGAGACAGAGCCCAATAAGCATTCCATACTCAACATGCCCAAACTGAACTCCTGATCTTCTTCCTCCCCAGAGCTGTCCAGCCTATTCCATCTCAATTGTTCTGACTGTCATTCTTTCTCTTGTTTACCAAACACCCTGCAGTCATCATTGTCTCCTTTCTTTCTCTTAGACCTTACATCCAATTTGTCAGGAAATCTTGTTGACTCTACATGCAGAATATATGAAGAATCTGATTCCATCCCATCAACTTCTCTGCTGCCACCCTCATTTGGGTCATTATTACTTCCTGCCTGGTTTATAGCAATGATCTCATGAGACTCCTCCTGCCTCTAGCCTTAATCCTCATGGTCTTTCCTCAATACAGCAGCTAAAATAATCCCTTAAAAATGTATTTCACATCATGCCATTCCTCTGCTCAAAATCTTGAACTGGCTCCATTTTTCAATCCAACTGATAGCTGAGGTTTAACAAGGTCTACAAATTGCCTGAATAAATGTCCCCAAGAACTCTTCTAGTTAACACCCTCATCTTCATGAATTTTTTGTTCAGATCTCTCCTTCTTAATGAGGTCTATTCTGATCATCCAGCTTCATGCTCTGACTTAGCCCCCATCCACTTCTCTTTACTTTCTTAATCATTTGTATTTTCTTTCATCTAATAATTTCTTTGTTTCTTATTCCTACTGTTTATTTTCTTTCTACCTCTTATAGAATGTAAGATTCTTGAGGGCAGTATCTTTGTCAATGTTTCACTGATATAACCTAAGCACCTGGCACACAGTAGGTGCTCAATTTTTTTCTTGAATGAATAAATAAATATATCCACAACTTTAAGCAATTCTTATTGACATCAGGGATTATTTCATAGACTTGAACATCTTCAGAAAATATCAATTATAATGAAAAAGAGAAAGCACACCTGAAAAATCTGACATAATAGGAAAGCATAAATGATCATCAGCATGTGCTATATATAATTCCATTGCCCATCATCCCAGCACAGAAGCTAATTTCTTCCTCATGCTCATTGTGCAGTGCTAAAGAAATTATTAGCAATCGATCCGTTGAATTTTACCTGTTAAAAATAACACAAGTGCAAACATAGGTTCTACCTTATAGTGCACCGCATATTGTGAAAACCACACGGTCAGTATCTTTGACCATAACATACCATGCCGTGTATCCCTATGTAAAGTGATCTTTAAGAAATGCACCTACCTGTAACAACCAAGTGTGTTGTGCCATTTGCTTTCCCAAACTGGTTTTCTGCTGTGCAGGTGTAAGTTCCAGCATCAGCTTTAGTTACGTTGGCTATTTTGAGTCCTCCATCTTTTAAAAAAGAAATTCTGAAGGAAATACAAATTAGATAAATAAATGTATAATAGCTATTTGTCCAAATAAATAGCAATTTTTTTTTTCAGAACATGTTGCTTTAAGCCAGTATTTTTAAGGTATGAAAAATCAATGCTTCACCCTTTGGGAATAAAGAAAATTAAAAGAAAATTTACACACAAACACATACAGTTGAGTGAGAAATGGTGCCCAACCAATTCTAACTTTGCATGACACTTTTATACACCGTTACTTAACAACACTACTTAACATCACACTTAACTGTGGAGATGCCTTTATCAAGTAAGTGTGAAATGTTTTCCCAAAATACATGTTGTAGTAGTTATCCACGGGTTAGCCTTATCAGTTTGGAGAAAATAAAAATTAGGCATGATAGTATTTTCCTTAAATTTGAAACAGTATATGTGAAATAAGAAATCTGCTGGTCTTCCATTATGAACTGAGAGAGTCACATTCAACCCAATAAAAATACAAATTTTGCAAAAGAATATTTACACAGCCACTTGTGAGCTAGTGCAAAGAATCTGGGCAACTCAAATAAACATTACTTAAGAATTTCTGAGCATACACTTAAAGTACTTAAAGCTTTAGTATGTAACTAATTAATTAAGGGAATATAAACGAGTGCCTTACATGTGCTTGACACTCTGAGAGTCCCTGGATTACAGTGTGAGCATGGTGGAAAGTCTCTACTTTCATGGCAATAATATTCTAGTGAGTAGCACAGACAATAAATAATAAATAATTGAAACAATATACTGTCCCCCACAAATATATACAAGCAAATGTTAGAAAAAGAAATTTTTTAAAAATTAAATAAGTAAATTATAAAAAGGTCTGATTTTTGAGAAGTACTTAGAAGACAGGGTGATGTAACACAAAGCAAGTGCTTTATGAAGTGTTTTCAGGATATGGGGCTTCAAGATAGCCTCTTGGAAGAGGTGTTATTTGAACTAAGAAAGAAGAATGAGACAGGGTTAAACTGACATTAATCTGATCCAGTATCTTTATTGCCCACCTTGTCTACACATAATTATATTCCCTCTCTTTGAATTCCTAAAANCATGGCAATAATATTCTAGTGAGTAGCACAGACAATAAATAATAAATAATTGAAACAATATACTGTCCCCCACAAATATATACAAGCAAATGTTAGAAAAAGAAATTTTTTAAAAATTAAATAAGTAAATTATAAAAAGGTCTGATTTTTGAGAAGTACTTAGAAGACAGGGTGATGTAACACAAAGCAAGTGCTTTATGAAGTGTTTTCAGGATATGGGGCTTCAAGATAGCCTCTTGGAAGAGGTGTTATTTGAACTAAGAAAGAAGAATGAGACAGGGTTAAACTGACATTAATCTGATCCAGTATCTTTATTGCCCACCTTGTCTACACATAATTATATTCCCTCTCTTTGAATTCCTAAAATCATTACTATCCATACCATGCATTTAACACTTAGAATGACTGAATCTTTTACGGCTCTTATCTTTGATATGTTGTTGTATCTATGCAAATGAATGGTAAACTTCTTAAAGGGTTGGCCACCCCAGTGTCAGCATGGCTTTATATATGTAAACTGTGAACAATAAAGCCTCCAACTTTTGGGCCATTCAGCAGAGAAGACAGGAAAGATGCTGAAGACATTAGACTAGAGTGGAGGATCTCAACTCAGTCTCTAAATATTATGTTTGTTGCAACATTTTTAGATGTGTGTCAAAAATGTCATTATTAGTATGATTTATGTATTAAAAATGTACACAACACAGATTTTATGATATATATATTCCTTTAAGAGTCTGTTGTTCATTTTCACTTGCAATCTAGTTACACTTTCTTGAATCAGAAAGTTGTGGTCAGATTGGAGCTAGCACACAGGGACCTGTTCTTGATCCTGGATACAGCTATCTATGAATGTTTGTTGCTCACACGATTTTTTTTAAAAAAACTATGTTAAGATATATTTAAAACAAAAGGGTTTGAGAACAATGGCCTAGAAAGCTAACCAAGGAACACACAGAAATGTATTTCAGTTTAAGAACTTCACTGAAAGGTTAAAAATTCCAAGAACTTTTCTAGGAATCTGTTAGAGAACAATGGCCTAGAAAGCTAACCAAGGAACACACAGAAATGTATTTCAGTTTAAGAACTGCACTGAAAGGTTAAAAATTCCAAGAACTTTTCTAGGAATCTGTTAAAAAAAAAAAAAAAAAGGTGCTATATATGTAATTCTCTCACGGGATTCTGAACATTTCGTTAGGCATGAAATACAAGCCCTTCACTTTCTGGAAGAAATAATCAAAGAACTTAAAAAAAATCTCTTTATACTGTAGCCTATCAGAGAACAAAGATTTTCTTAATGACTATGCAGTAATAATTGAAAGAGGAATCCCATCATAGAAATAAAAATGAATGACAACTTAGGAAATGGAGACTAGAAGTTTTGAATAATGTGGAGAGAAAACGTCAAGAGCTGTACATCTCATGGCGTAATCCTGCTCTACTCACTCCACCTGCTCAGCACTTGCTTGGACCCCCTCTGGCATCACACTGCCTATAGGATAAGGACTATATCCTAAGCCTGAACAATCCCCTCGCATCAGGATCCTGCCTCTCTTTAACTTCAGAGGCTTCGTGAATTTGATCCCTTGCTTGCTTTTCTCCAGTCACACATCCTTCTTTTAATTGCTTTTTCACTTCTTTCTGCTTCAGGGTCTTTATATAAACTGCTCTCTACCTGGCTGATCTGTACTCATCCTTCAGACTTCAATCACTTCCCTACACCCATGAGTTGGATTAGGGCTTCCCATATCTGATCAAAACATCCTTGTCCTTTCTTCATAGCACCTGGAAAGTGGTCAGTTATATACCTGTGTGCTTATTTGACAAATATTTTTCTCCTCTAGTAGACTGTGAATTATCTGGAGGCAGGGATAGTGTCTGGATTACTCACCACTAAATTTGGAGAGCCTTGAACAGTGCCTACCACAAATAGACACTCAATAACACTTGTTGAATGAAGAAATGACTGGATGCCTTTAGAGAGTCACTGTAGAAGAGGTGAGGTTAGTGAAGCCAGATTGAAAGGCACTGAGGACTAATGAATAACAGGGAAATAGATTCTGAAAGTGTGCAGACTATGACATATACACACACACACACATACACATATTTATATATGTTATTTGTACATATATACACACACATATACATATATATGAACAAACACACAGTCATGTACTACATAAGGACATTTCAGTCAATGACAGCGATCCCATAAGATTATAATACCATATTTTTACTATATTTTTTCTATGCTATCTAAGCATAGATACACAAATATTTACCATGTTTAGATACACAAATATTTACCATGGTGCTACAGTGGCCTACAGTATTCAGTACAGTAACATGCTGTACAAGTTTGTGGCCTAGGAGCCATAGGCTATACTATAGAGCCTGGGTGTGTAGTGGCAGGCTATTCTATCTAGGTTTGTGTAAGTACACTCTATGATGTTTGCACAATGATGAAATCACCTAAAGCATTTCTCGGACTGTATCCCCATCATTAAGCAATGCAGGACTGTGTGTGTGTGTGTGTGTGTGTGTGTGTGTGTGTGTGTACACGCAACAAAGATAAGGCAGTAGAAGACTGGATAAGTGAATTTAGAAATGACTTCACTAGGATTAGAGAAATGTATTTGTGCTATTCTGGAAGCAGTCAGTAGAGAGGGAGACACTGAAGATAGCAGAAAGGAGGGAATGGAGATGGAAGAAAAGAAAGTGAGAGAGAAAACTGATAGACAAAAGTCTTAGAGGAAGTATAAGCAAGGACAATGCTCCCAACCCATTTTGATTGCTAATCCCATCAGTTGATGTTTTTGGCCATGATACCCAAAGAGAATAGTACTTGATCCACAGCATTGCTCAATAAATTTTACCTACCACTTTTATTAAAACCAAAGTGCAGATTTGCCAGAGATTTTTTAATACATAAAGAAAGGAAGCTGGCAGATGATATCAGAAAGCCATGAAGACATTTAAATAATGAGGCAAACTCACCTACACTGAGTTATAACATCAAGATAGAGTTGGAAGCCCCAGGAAGCTGGAAATCTACCACTTCTGACATGAGTAAGCTTAAAACAAGGTAAAAATGCCTCTCATTGACTGACCAAAAATTAAGAGCTTCTAATTTGGGGACCGTGAAACAGAAATAGGTAATTACAGATATCTTCTCATCCTATGAATTAGTATAACAGCTAACCTTCCACTACAAATATGGAACTCCGGTGTTCTTTAGAATACTGGAAGAACTGGAAATCGTTTGGTGTATGAGGTTTAGTAACTTTAAACAAGCAAATCTATGTTTACGACCATGTCGAAATGAGGAACAGTTTCCAAGTCAAGGTCTAACATCTTAGAAATCACACAAAGGCTCCAAAATAAACATACTGACTCTCAAAGAATGCAAACTATGAGTATACCGTAAAATTTTAAGCTAATTGGATATTTCCTTTCTAAACTGCTTCTTCCTGTAAGTTCTAAGAGGCCCACGGGGCATTTTGCACAACATAAAAATAAACAATATTCAGTAAATGGATGGAGTAAGTGTTTCTCAACAGAAAACCTTCAATAACCCATGCCTCCCTACAGAGATTCAAAGTGAAAATTTTATACCACTTCACTATAAATGAAATTGCTTCCTAAGCTTTCTGGGAACAGTTTTTCTGCAATGGGTAGAGTTGCAAATGTAGATAACAATGAGATCACTAGCCTTGGCACAAAAGGTAAACTGAAGATTTATGAGATTAACATTCAGAAATGTGGTACTCCAGTTTGCTCTGATAAATATGCAATTTAAAGCACTATGGCATTTTAACTCCTTGATCAGTTTTATAAAATACCTTTATATGTTCCTTTTTATTGATCTTTTTTTTTTTTTTTGTAGTAAGAGGTTAATTATTTCACTTAACTTTGTGCAGTCTATGG